CTTAAGGAATAAAAAGTATAATTTTGAGAAAATCAGAATAGGAACTACATAGACAAGACTGCTGTTTACCAGCCGACCTTGATTAGGAGACAGAGTGGATTGCAAGAGCGATAACTATTTATAGCAACAAACGGCCACATCAATAGCATTTAATAAAGTGGCTATTGATAAAGAATAGATAAAAACGTCTGCATAAAATATATACACGCGAAAAAACAAACCCGTTTGTGACACTACGAATTAGTTATTAACTCGGAACGTGTTTGTTAAGTTTCCAATGTTCTTTTATTTTTATGGCGGGCAAAGGTTGAGAGAATACAGCCGATGGTCATTCACAATACCGTGGCGGTCGAGTTGAAACACTTTAATAGTAGCTCCTCGGTTACGAGAAGCAAAGATATGAAAACTAACATCTGGACTTCTAATACTGGTGCCTCTCTGATAAGCGGACCCATAATTTAAGAAGGAAGTAAAATCGACTTTAGAATGGGGAATTAAATTTAAAGTTAATCAGCACGGCTGTTGGAATCGAGGCAACAATCATACTGCAGTTATGCGTAGCGGCAAGCGAATCGGAAACGATTCAACAGACTAGAAAATAGACAAATATAAAAATAGGCAAATACGAACTCAAAAACTGCTCTATGCAGCCCGAGTTGGAAATAAAATTTCTATATGCGATTTGTTTTTGAGTATATGGACAAAAGCTCTGTAGGGCTCTGTACAGAGGGTATTACGGCATAGTCCCAACTTTGGATTAACGGACTTCAAGTACCATCGGAACATTTTATTTTTGTTATTATTTCGAAAAATATGCTGGTTTCCTCACGATATTGACTTAACTGTGTGGCGACAGCATTAGCGAAGTGAAAATTAGTTTTCCGGATATGACGAATGATGAAGCGAATTAATTAAGAAAGCATACTAATCAAATTTGTTCGACTAAGTTTTACTAATAACAGAAATCATTACAAATGCTTAAGCGGCAGTTTGTCAAGAACGCTAGGCTACATTGCCTCGCTGAATATTAATACTTATCCTCACCGCGAGAAAATAAACGGCCCTCATATCATCAGCCGCAATATACACAAAGCAAATAGAATCAAATCACATACAGCCGCAATAGCGGGGCGATCTCCGGGCGATCGCTTTTAATTCAATATACTCGAAACAACAGAGTTCATATGCCGGTGCCGGCACCAATTAAATTGTTACTTGCAATTCTAACGCCCGGTTTCTGAAACACTGATCCTCGTAGATGTCAACTAATAAGCCGTCAAATTGCTTTTCAAATTTCATTTTAGTTGCCAAAAGGATAGTTAAACTCTCTGAATTGACCAAAATGATCTTCTTAATGATCAGAATGATCAATTCAAATAGTTTAACCATCCTTTTGGCAACTCAAATGAAATTTGAAAAACCATTTGATAGATGATTAGTTAACATTTATGATGATCAGTGTTTCAGAAACCGGGCGTAAGTGCCGACTTATCTTTCGCTTGTATGCATATTCGCTTTCCTTCACAAAGGCATCGTGAGTAAAACTGCATAATTTTCGAAGATATGTGAAGTAGATATGCCAATAGAATGAAGAAGGCATGCCAATGTGTATTTGGATCAAATTCAAATATCTTTACTCAACATTGAGGCATTACATTTACTTACTGTCAAGAAACTACTACCGCGTGGTGGACTATACCCTTTGTACAGAGGAGGCCTTTGCCCAGCAGTGGGACTAATAATACGTAGTAATGGAATTGACACCGCATTGCGGGAAGCGTCCGCGGTATTGTCACAGGCAAAACTTCCGCATACAATTCACGCTCGTTTCGAGCTCTGAAGAATTTCGACAGTTTTACAATTTTAAACCAGTCTAGAGAACACCGGACGAGACCTAGATTTAAAGATAGGTTTTTGTTTATTTTCAAATAGTACTATGAGGCGCAGATGCATCAATCATTCATTCTCTATCTTTTGAAAAAAGAATTAAGATTCTTTGAGTTTATCCTGTGCACAGAACAATCGGTGGAGCGATGCTCAAATTTAAAGTACCTAGTACCTACATTAAAGCTATAAGCAATGTTAAATTGAATAAACATGGATCGACTTTAAATTGAATTACTAATAAGATTATGATGATAAGATATTCATCAAATTATAAGTAAACAATAAAATGAATAGTTTGACAAAACTAAAAGAGGAGTAAACATATGAAACAGATACAAAATCGTAATGAATTTGGAGAAAAAAAAAGCCAAAAACAAATCAATAAAAAAAAATAGAAACAATTAAAAAAGGAACGCATTCTTTTTGTTGAGCCTATCTCAGCTGTCGTCCGAAACGGTATCGAAGCTCGATCGCCTACGTGAACCATTACCTGCCTACCGGCGCGCACTTTTCGATTTTGACAACACTTCCTGACGTTGCGGCCGCATCGCAAATTGCACTTTAGTGCTTTTCAAATAGGGGTGAAAATGCGACAGTCTCTTTACTTCTTCACAAGCGAACGTTCATGAGACTTGAATCAGCAGTAACGTAGGCGGTTTTTATGTGGCAATAGGTGCATTTCGAAAGGCCGCCCACACGCGCCGAACAAACTTATAACCCACCAGGGGATTTTGGTCCAAAGCGAACTGTTTTAATGAATATTATAAAAATAATTTTTCCTATAAACGCACACATCTCTCGACCGAATTTTCAACTAATATATCCTTCGTGGCTCCCTAGTTTCCTCCAATGGTATACGTCGAGGACTACGTGCTCATCTTTAAAGGACACTAAATTCTGCGCAGTCATCTTTATATGTCTAAGCTCTACACTTTGCAACGACGAAATTTCGAGAAGGATCAAATGACTGGGAAATATAAGCACGATTGAAACGTGGAGAATCTCAGACCGATGCGTCGAGTTTTCTTTTAGTTTACTAATCCATATTTATTTGTTCCACATATACGGTGATATTTTATCCATCGTTACCTTGATGACTTCAATCAACTTCGGTAAAACTTGATGAAGAATAAGAATAAAACCGTAAAAAAAAGTAGGTTACATCGATACTAGTGCAAATAAAAACAAAAACCATCGTGTAAACTCTGAGGTGTTACTGATGTTTCGCCTTCTTGTCGTTGTACAAGAAGTTTCAACTTCTGCGAATATAAAATGTGACAACACAAAGCTCCAGTCTCGACTTGTTTTAACTTCAGGTAAATCTACACCTCCAAAGATTGTTATCGACTGGGGGGAGGTTTCGAATTTCTTTAAATAATAATACTTCGCGGTCCCTAAGATACCTCTGTGATTCGGCTACAGAGTAACACAATTATTGTCCAAAGGATGGCACGTTTATTTTAGAATTTCAGCTATAATTTTAAATGGCTTAGAACTATGTACCTATTAGTTTGGTTGCTTTTAAATAATGATTTGGCCCGATCGTGCAAAGTACGAACAAAAAATCGAACGTAACTTTAAAATATGCACTCGATATAGTTATTAGATAATTTTATTTGAATACACATTCATAAATTGAACATGAAGGGATTTAAACATAATTATAATAGTTATAACGATTTAATTTTAATCAAAGACGTACCTTAGATCTTAAAACCATTAATTGGCGACATTAGTGTCCCTAGCCCTACATAAAAACAATCATTTCTGTTTCGATAACTTATTTGCTCTATCTTCTTTTTTATCTGGTGTAGATTTATTCAAACTCTCTTAGAAGGTAATTCATTGCTTGAAACGCTTCTAGCTGAAGCGTTTCAAGCACTGCCGGCAGTTTAAAAATAGATATTAATATTTTTTGCACAAACCATATAATGGACTGTTTGCAAATAACATAGATCAAAACATTTTAATCTATATTTATCTTCACTATATCGCTATCTCATTTAGGTAAAAAGATACCGCATGATTCTCACCTGAGTTCGGCTGTTCTTGTATATCAACATCCGACAACACTCCCTTCCTTTCGAAGAAATTTTTCACTTTTGCACAGGATGTTTCAGTGTCCGCGGTTGTAACCATCGCGAAAATACTCGCAACTATCACCAAATATATTATTTGGTTCTTCATACTAGTGCCGAAAATCGATTTCTTGTTAGGGGACAGTTTCACATAACAACACACGTTCACAGCCATGCTCATGGGGAACTATTTACCGAGTCCTAAAGTATCTACTTCGAATTTAGACGCTTCATAAATAAAATTGAAGTTAAATAAAATTTTAACTTAAACTTTAAGTAATATATACGCCATATAAATAACACACGATAACTTAACTGCGATCCATGACGATCGCAGCACGACAGCGAACTGACTGGCGACCGCCGCACTGACTGAAGTGTGCCGAAAGCCGGAAAGTCAAACTGCAGAACGATTATTGCCAACGTATAATAAAATAAACTTTTAATTATTATTACAAATTTATTAAAATTAAAAAAACAACAAATCAGAACATATTATAACCATAACTTTAAGAAATTAATTATCTTGACATACGATTTTAATTCATGTACACTTTATATTAATAGAGCAACACCATTTATTCCGTTTTATATGCTTAACTGTTCTACTCAATATAAATATACACTAGATAAAAAGAGAACACTGATTATCTATTAGCTCCGCGAAAACTATTGTAAAAGATTACCTATTCGATAGAGTTTCAGTTTTGATCAAACTAAACTTGTCAATTTATTTACATTTCAATTTATAAAACAATTTTAACGTGCAATCGTGCAGTAAGTGATTAGTGCATGAGTCTTAAAAGCCGCCTATCGTCCCATAACCCATAAGTATATTAAAAGATATCTCGGCTATTAATTTTTAAATCTAAATAATCATTCTTTTTTTTTGACTTTCATTCAACTTTATTTTACATAACATTTCGGCAAGACTTAATAATGAGAATTTATTTACTGAAAAGTGTATCGAATGCAATCGGTAGACGTTTCCTAGCGACAAATAATGTAAGAAAAGTAACGCACTGTATTTTTGATATGGACGGTCTACTTTTAGGTAAGTACTTAACAGGTAGTTACGCGCCCGACCTTTTCGATTGTTTTCAATGTTAATTAATTGAAGGTTATAGATACGCAAAAGTACGAGATTGTATAATCATAATGTTACAATTCATTATTTACAATACATTAGGTACTTTGGTTTATAAAATTATTTGTTTTACTAGTAGCAATATGTTACATTTTTTTATATATTCACAGATACCGAGCAAGTGTATAAAAAAATGATAACTCAGCTCTGTGCAAACTATGGACACAAGTACACTGATGAACTGATGATGAAGGTTCTTGGAGGAACTGAGCAAAGATTGTCCGAGATCTTATGCAAGGAGCTAAAGCTTCCTGTAACACCACACGAATTCAGAGACCAGTTGTTGAAACTTGGTGACACAATGCTTGCAGGAACACCGTTACTTGATGGTAATCTATTTGTTACATATTTCATATGGTTTACATTATACAGGTCACTTCTGAACTTTGGTCACACTTATAAAATTGATTTTTCACAAGGCTGCTAACATAGATAAAAAGCCTTTATTCAAGATCATGAATACCTTGGCTTTAACTTTAAATAAGTATAATAATGAATGAAGTATAAACTAGAGGAGATAACACCACTCCTGGGCAAAGGCCTCCTCTGTACAGAGGGTTGTTATCTTGTTCTCCAGGTACTTAAGTCAAGTTCTTAGGTCTTGTCATAAACCTTAGGTGATTTAAAGTTATTCCAAAGTTTTCCCATTTCCCAAACTTTCAGTAAGGGTGGAGCATAATAAAAGCTCTACTTCTTTGTTTTTCTCGATTAATAGCTGTCCATGAATGACACTAACTTTTTTACTTTAAAATGTCATTAAGCCTCTTTTTTAAATCTTAAACCTAATATGTCCCCTGACATTACAAATACTTAGTCTCTTTACTCTTCATTATACAGGGGCCGAAAGATTAATTCGTCACCTGCACAAAACTAGAGTTCCGTTCGCTCTAGCAACATCTTCCAGTGCGCGTTCAGTAGAAACAAAGATAGCTAGTCATAAAGAGCTTTTCAGCTTGTTCAACCACATGGTTATGGGGAGCAGTGATAAGGAAGTTAAATTTGGAAAGCCACATCCAGATATATTTCTTGTGGCTGCTTCAAGATTCCCTGATAAACCTGACCCTTCTAAGGTAGTATCATCAAATTTTTGTTCCAATTATTCTATATATTTATTATGTAAAGTAGAAAACAGTACAATTTATCCCTGTGTTGTAAGGACATTTTACAAACACACGAAAATTAAGTTGCACCAGGACAAACACCCAGCTGCGAAACAACTATCTGTGGGTTGCACAAATAATTGTTCCGTGTGGGAATCGAACCCATGACCTCCGACGCCGAAGCCAATACCTTGGCAACTGCGCCACGGAGTCATCGTCACCTGTTAATAATGTGTCATAATGCTTAATCTTGTATTTTATTTATGTAACAATATAAATAAAATCATAATGCTTTCATATTTATAGTGCTTAGTGTTTGAAGATTCGCCACACGGTGTCACTGCTGGCATCGAAGCCGGTATGCAAGTGGTGATGGTGCCAGACCCCCACCTTGACAAGCAGTTCACCAAACATGCTACAATAGTGCTTCCATCTCTAGCTAAGTTCCAACCAGAACTATTCGGATTACCAGCGTTCCATTGACAGTACATATTCAAATCAACTCAGGTTTGAAGTATGCCAGATGTTCAATATGAATTATTGAAACCGTTGTGGTTTCCAACCATTATTTGTAACGCAATACTCTTAATTGTAATTAATATTTTGTGTTTGTGATTTTGAAACAGTTTGTTGAATTAATTAATTGACCCAACACATTTTTATAATGAAGAACAACTAGATACATGCAAAGGGACATTTTGTATTTTTGTTTCCGATACAGTTTACAATATTAACTTTTGTATATATATATTTTGGTATACAGTTGATGATGTATTCTCGGCAAGAAATAGTAGAGTAGAAGTAAAATATAACAATCATAATCCTTTGCGCTATGACAGTGCCTCCCAAACTTTTTCTACATTGTAATGATGCAAGCTCAAAATTTTCAAATCATTGAGAGCTTGCCTTAGCAAGGGAAACACCATGGCCTAATATAACAGAGACATAAAGTACAAGTATTGTACTTTTACATTTACCGGGGATGTCTTTAAAAGGTTGACAGGGTAGTTGTAACCTTAACAATGTTGTTAATATCCATGGATGGGGTTACTAAATATCAGTTGAACTGCCTGCCCCAATTGCCATGTTCTACTATAAGAAAGCTTGCTCTCAGAGTGTGATCAAAAGAATATCTCCCTCCATTTTTTTTATGTGAAAAGTTGCCAAACGAGCAGACGGTTCACCTGATGGTGAGTGAATACCGCCGCTCATGGACATCTGCTACATCTAGGGGTTACAGATGCGTTGACAACCTTTTGAATATTGGGCTCCAGCTACCTCACTCACCAGACGAAACGCGAAAGTATTTGTCATACTTCCAGTACGGGCCTGCCCATTCGTGCAACAGCCGAGGCTGCTGCGTGGCCGTACCACCAAAAAGCAGACATTATTATAAGCAAACATTTGCTGCTTTACTTCCTATTATTGTTTATTTACCAATATAATTTTGTTGCATGGTTGTGATTCCGATTTTCAAATAACCGTACAAAAAGTCAATAGAAAAACTCGAAAGTGATTTTATATACACTTAAATAATTTAAAATAAATATTTTCTTGAGTTTTTATTGAATTTTGTACATAAAATTCATCAACTAGTGTTCATGTACAAAGGTGATAGTCATCCATAGACTTAAAAGTACAATTGGGATTAGTAATAATGTTTTATAGAACTTGTTATGTTTATATGTGTAGTTTATAGAGGATTTAAGCATAATAAATTATTTATATATGACTGCATATTATTTTGAGATAACTATTGGTTATTGAGTTTCAGCATATACTCAGTGTCTGACCACAATCTAGATTTATTCAGGGCATGTGACTTAACTCCAATACTTACAAAGCATGATTATGACCTAAACACGGTGATGGAAAGAACAATAATAAAATCCGAAAATCTAAAACCTCATGGTGCCCCACAGTGATTCGCATCAGCGACGCTCTCAATATTAGTAAACAGTTGCTGTAGCCGAACACTGCTAGGACATGACAAACTGTTATCAGTTTGAACTCTGATTGGCTTTGTATGAATACAAACACAAGTTGAGTACACCAATAAACAATAAATTTGCCTATCTCGAATTATCAATTTGTATTTTTAATCTTTTGGTGGCTCGTGTGTATGTATTGTTAAATAATACAAGCCGTTTTTCTAAATCCTATATTACATAAACAATTTAATTAATATAACGAAAATTCCAATTCATTTAGCGAGTTGTTTCACGGTATTAAGGACATCCTCTGCGGTCAAGTTAGTCAACGCTGTACGTCGTTCCACACCTTTGTCTGAAATGAAATTGCATACATATTACCATAGTAATTGTACTACTGAAAATACCATATGACTATATTTGCCAAACTATATGAATGGCTATACTTTATGCAACTAGTAAGAGAGCTACTTCTAAGCTAACGCCGAATTTACAAATATTGAATACCTAGTCAACAAGTTTTAATTCAATTAACTTTCGCCTATGACTAAAACTCTACTATGTCTAATGTTCAGTTATATGAGTGCTAAACCCTACCTGACCCAACAATAGTTGAATAATTTTAATGATTTTATAAAGGAAGAATGAAAAGAAATGCCTTTTTTTAAATATTTAAGTGGTTTTAGCATATTTATTTTGATAAATTAATCATTATATTATTAATTTAAAACAAAGCTAAATTCAGCCCTTGCATAACTTTTTTCTTTAATAGTATGTGCCCGGATAATAAAGGAAACTGCAGACGTATGCCAATTTATTATAAAAATAATTGAATTTCATATCTTTGCCCTCAATTTTTAACAAAAGTTATTTAAAGATTTTCTGACACTTGTAATCTTTAGCCCGCTCAACTAGTTTAGTATTTATATGTACATAGCTATGAAAAATAAGATACTTGACTACAGAATAAGATTTTATGTTGTTGGTGGACTAAATTTACCATGTTGTAATGTCCTATTCAAACAATATTACCAATTACATACACCTAGAAACAAATTATTAATTAGTTAAAAAAATTACATTGTTCATGTATCCTAGGGGCGTCCCTTTTTTTCAGAAGAATCAAAAATAAACTAAAGTAATATTTTAAAATACAGGTCCTAAATTTAAAGTATTTTTTTAGACAATTTGACAATAACACCATAAACTTGATCACTCTTTAAATCAGATAAAGGTTCACAAACTTCTTGACCTCTTTCTGTAACAAATATAAAATAACTAGTTTATGGAAAACTAGTCGTTTTGGGTAACTTTGACTTGAAATGCGGTTTAACTTTGAACAATGTTGTGAAAAAGATTTATTAATTTATTACACGAAAACTATTTTTTATTTCAAAAGCGTAACTGCGTAAAACGATCGGCAAAATGTTTTGAAATAACGAAAATTAAAAAAAAAACTTTCAATGCAATATCACATTTAGATGTAATTTTTACACATAAGTTTTTATTTATTGAAAATACGTCATATAATTTTACCCAAACCTTAAAATATTCGAATAATGATGTTTTACATCCTAAACAAAATTATGTTCAAAGTTACCTTAAACTCAATATATCACTCTCAATATACTCATAACTGTAAATTTGAGTTTGGGGGGAAATTGTGGATAGTTCTGTTGTTTTTCGTAAATTTATTGTGTCGGCAAAATAAACCAACTCAAAATGACACTATTCAATAAAATAAAGGTGTAATAGATATAAATCAGATTTTAATAGCACAAATTCTGTAAAAAATGTTCAAAGTTACCCAAATGACGTTATATAAAGGCATTAAACGATTTAAAAGGCCATTATTTCAGCGCAATTTTTTAAATCGCATAAAAACGAAATCGCGAAGGAACACCTGTATGTGCCGTCACACAAATTGGAAGCTATTCAGCTTGCCGTAAATTTTGACAATATGTAAAAATATGAATTTATATATATAACCCTTTTTATTAATATAAACAATATTTTGTGCATGGTAAACTGTACAAGCAATCTATTATATATTATACTAGTGACCCGCCCCGCTCGCGCGCGGGTGCAATGTATCCTTCCTCTTGAATCAGTCTTATCTAGTAGAGAAAAAAACCGCATCAAGATCCGTTGCGTGGTTTTAAAGATCTAAGCATACATAGGGACAGACAGACAGTGGGACACTTTGTTTTATACTATTTAGCGAAGTAATAATATATTTTTTTCACTAACATTCGAGAAATTTATCTGCAATACCAACTTTATTTCCATTTATTATTAAAAAAAATTAAATTTATTACAAAATTATTATTTATATTATTACCAAAATTTAGTCTTCATGACAGATTCAGATTAGAAGTATGTTTACACTTACGTCACACACATGAAAAATGGTGTTCAAAATTCCACAGTTGACACCAGTTGCAATGTATCTTAAATATTTATTTCCTCTAATATTCATTGATGATTGATTTGCATGGTATAGTATATTTGACTACACTCCAAATTATACTACGGTTATGGTACGGTTTTTAAGTTAAATTAAAAAAAGTGAAGTTTACTTGTCCCACTGTTGGGCAAAGGTAGCCTTTGTAGGGGGTTTCAGGGCATAGTCGACCAAGCTATCTTCATAATGTGAAATGTGACTTCACTGCTGAGGATGTGATAAATCAAGTATTAGTAAGTTTAAAGCGAGCGCCCGGACAATGAGCTTTCGCCGCTTTTAGAGTTCTTCTTTTTCTTTTTTATACTTAACACTTCAAATAGCTCACATATTTCATAGCAAAATATTTGTACCTGGACGTGGACTTTCATAGCAAAATATATGCACTTTCCAAAATCACACAAAACAAAATATAAGTTTATATCATACCATATCTAGCCCAAATACATGGTTGAATCCCACTGCATTCACGAATTAGGATGGGGAAATTAGGATTCTCCTTCTTAATGGACACATAGGTTTTCTGAATGAATTCCCTGAAATAATTAATTACATAGTTTTAATCGTTCATTCATATTCATTTGCTGCAGTATTTACAGACAAGTTAATGTTAAACCTCCTTCTAATTATATTGCATATAGAAATAAATTTATATGTATAATTCATAAATATGTGTTACTATAAGGATTAGTGACGGGTTGTAACAAATCTACTATACTTTCACAATATCAGGAACTATCAAAATATTAAGACAAAAAGAGATTTCCTGAATGAAAAAACCACAAACTTACAGGTTAGAGCAGATTTATGTAATCAAATATACCTTACGCCTGCGGACTGCTTGCCTGTCTGGCACAAATGAATCCTTAATTCTTTAAGATGCCCACCTAAGCGTACAGCCGACATTTCTAAATCTTTTATGATTTTTATACGATCCTATGACTTTGAAATTAAATTAAATATTTTTTCCCAGTATTGAGATTGACAGCAGATGTAGATGTCAACTGTCAGGTCAGTGTCACTGCTCACTGCCAAATTAGTGTTGCATGTTATCGACATGCATGTTGCATGTCTTCTATAGATAGATAATCGGTTATCTATCGATAGTTAAGGTAAAATCAATCTATCGATAGTATTGTCACGTAGCAATACTATCAATATCGATAGCTCTCCAAGTGCAATAGTATTGTACAGCAATACTATCTATACAATGCATGCGATGGTATAAATAGTATTGAAATTTCCATTAATTTTTGAAAAAACTTTTGTATTATTGATAGCCAGTAACTTTTCGATAGCATTGCTTTCTCTAAATATACCAAGTAACGAATTTGACAATCCGATTGGCATGGGGAGTAGTGAACTTGTGCCAGAGGGTGTGGGTTCGATCCCCACTAACGGAAAAATATTGTTTGATAAACATGGTGTTTCGTGTCTGGGTGTTCATATATATATATATATATATATATATATATATATGTATTTATTTACAAAATAAAATTATGATTAAGTATGTTTATCAGTTGTCTAATAACCATAGTACACATCAAGTGAATTTTTATACTACAAGTAAAGTGGCATTTCTCTGTCGAAAAGGACGAGGAATGTCATTAAATACGTGCAATTTCTTAGCCGGCCACTAATACACAGTACTAATTTGACTGTTTACACTAGGCCAAGTTACGAGTTAAGTGCGCACATTAAAAGATTATAGAAAGCGATTATATTTTGATTAAATTTTTTTTTTGTATAACTGTAGTTACGGTTTCAGTACTTAGCAGTGCCGGATTAACCACATATCAAGGGTAGCAATTGCTACGGGCCCCGCATATTTAACGCACTCATCTCTGATTGGGCCTTCATTTTATGAGTAAAACTTATTAAATTAGTAAGAGATACGGTGGTAGGGCCACGCAGCAGCCTCGGCTGTTGCACGAATGGGCAAGCCCGTCCGGGTAAGTAGCACGACCTCATAGAAGACCAACGTAAAGTGGAAGTATGACAAATACTTTCGCGTTTCGTCTGGTGAGTGAGATAGCCGGAGCCCAATTTTCAAAAGGTTGTCAACGCATCTGTAACCCTCGGGTGTAGCAGATGTCCATGGGCGGCGGTATTCACTTACCATCAGGTGAACCGTCTGCTCGTTTGGCAACTTTTGACATAAAAAAAAGAAAAGAGTATTGAATTGTTTTTTAACACTTAAGAACCCATAGCAAATCAAGGGCTGTTTGAAAGAATTTGCTATGGGCCCCGCGCTTGCTTAAGTCCGGAACTGATATTTAGACTATTAAAGCTTCATGGAACGCAGAAACAGTGGGCTAGTCCAAGCCCATCAAGGTTCGGTGCGAACCGTGACCTCGATGGCCGCTGACTATGCTTGGTCAGTCGGTGGCTGGGGGCGGTGAGAACCGCCCTGGAACGCGGGTGTACCTAGTCTACGCGTTGTGCTGGTTTCGCAGTGCTCGAAGGCGAGGACAAACTAATCGTAATTTGTAATCGTCTGCATAGGTATATAATCTGTGCAATAAACATCAATATTGGGTTCAGCTATAGAATAGCTGAACCCAATATTGATGTTTATTATATATGTATATATACACGTTAATTGTTTTTCTTCCAATTAATATTTTACAAAAACAAAATCTAAATATCCGTATCTATACTACATACCGCTATAGAAGTTAGAATTTCATTTGGGTTCTATTTGTACAGGCCACTTCTGGATTTAAAATTAAAATTCAATCAGTACATGACGCCACTCAATGACAATAAATGGTTAATTTTAGCAACTATAAAGTCAACAATCACAATAACTTGTTCCGAAGTTCACTAGAAGAAAAGAGCCATTACTATCAATTAACAATTTAATGTAATTACTCCTCATACATCAATTTGTTTTGTACATTACATATAAGTACCAAACACTTCAATTACGATTTTATTTTTCAATAGAACTAAGATACTAGACTATTGTTTTATTAGATATCTATTACAACAGTTTAAATAAATATTGAATAGAATAGATGCATCAGAAATATTGATTACTAGCAAATTGACAACACATTAAAGAGAAAAATTGGTAAAAAAAATAAGTGTAATTATTTGTTCAAAAGTAAAACAATTTAACAGTGAAATTTACCTCATATTTCAAATTTTAAACGAAAATCACAGTTACGCTTTTGGTTTACCAAATATAACTTTACGTTTATTGTGTTATACTTACTAAATTTTCGATATTAGAATAAATTTGTGTAACATTTTGTGATACAAGTATTGCCATCAATCGATAAAATAAACATTACAATTTTGTATTTCAACCTTTATTAAAAAGAAATGGGTATATTCCCATAAAAGTTAGGAGGCTTGTCAAAAATATGTTTTCATATGATATGCCATTTAAAAAGCTTACCACTCAATTTGGTGTACATGTAAATCAAAACCGAAAAAATTCTAAGCTTTAATTATTAAAAAAAAATACCATTAACATGTATATACATATTTACATTGCCGTTTGTCTTACAACACTGTTTGTTATTTGAAACACTATAAAGAAATCTTTTAGTTAAAAAACAAATAAGTTCTAATTTATATAACTTTTAACTCACACATTATATGATGATAAACCCAGATTCATTTCAAACAAAAATAGTCATTGAAATATCATGTTAATATTTGTAAAATTTATTAATTTGAACATAGTCGACTGTTATCATAGTTTCTTATGACATTTGGTGTTTATTATTCCATTAAGTTTACTAGCATAAACTCTTTATAAAATTTTATATTAAATATATAAAAACCTAAATTTCACTAAAGATGTGTATTATGCAAATTTCAATAACTATATTACAATTTAACACTGTAGAATTTAAATATAACAGATCTTCAATATTTTGATTTTATAAATATTAAAAAATTAAGTTCACATTACTTTCTGTGAGATGCAAGTATATTTCTCTATTTATATTTGAAATGAAGAAGTTATCAAGAGGGGAAAATGGGGTGCAACAACCCCATAAAATTTATCTAACGGACGAAAAGATATAGAGCGTTATACAGCTGAGTAATAAATAAAAACAAAATCACTTTTCTGCATCAAGCAAAGTTCCCATTACAAGTAATGTTCCATATCTGACGTAAACTTTTCCGATTGACCACCGCGATTTAGTCAGCTGCATATTTCGTAGACTATTATGATGGCGACCCACCCAAGTATACACAGGTCAAGACTGTACAGGACGAAGCAAGAGAGTATGAGTAGTTCATAGGTCCCCAGGGCTTTGAAAAAATACTGTTCCTGCACCTTTGTCTGAGCACAGACATTAGGAGGTCTCGCTTCATACTGTACATTTTGTTTGGGCTTCAGCTAGCCGGATGCGGGCTCCAGAGCTTTGAACCCATCCGCCGTGAGACCTTGTTTCTGGCACCACTCCACAAAGTCATCAATTAGTACGGGCCAAGCACCTTCTGCATCGTAGTTACTCATACCGTCGTCAATTTGTGTTGCAAAGTCTAGAAGAAGGTTCCATGTATCTTTTGGTATAGACCTTTTGTGATGCTCCTGAAATTTTATTATTTATAGTTATGTTATGCAGCTATATACAATGATACAAACTGGTAAATAAAGATGCATCACAACACCACAAGATGAAAATTATGTATAAATAAGGTAAAAATGAAGTCTCTAGGATTTAAACATGAAGATGCATTCTATTGACTTAAATATAGGTATGCATTTTTAATGTAGGTCTAATTAAACATGAAACAATCAATGCAAAATTCCCTCAATACTTGAGTAGATTGATTTGTGAAAATTTTGTTAACAGCAACACTTTAAATTTCCCCACAAGGAATTTTCATTCAGTTCTATAATACTTTTGTAAATAGATATATAATTAATTACATTACATTTGATATATTAAGTAATTACATTACTATAATTTACTAACAACATATATATACAGCATTGAATTCTTTTTAATGATGATTTTATCAAAAGATAAAATCTATGTTAGTAATAAAACCTACCTGTAATATTTTAGCTAGTGTGTTCAAGGAGGCAAGAAAAAATTATCAATTTCCCCATAAACATCATTTGTATAAATAGTACACATGTTTGGCCTTAACTATAAAGAGTGACATGTTTTTTTCTATATACTTAATCCATCACATACTAAGCCTTAGTGTAAGTCAATGCTGATTGATAAATACCATTAGACCCCACAGTAATCTGGCAGCTCCTGCTTTGTAATCAGACAATTAAGTATTTATATAAATACAATAAAGGCTTATTATTGTATATTATATATGGTTGAAAAGGTTGTAAGACTAAAAGGTTGCAAAGGCTGTAAGTCTTACAAACTGTTGTGACATGTTACTTGTCACTTGTTATTTAATCTTGCTTTGCTTTTTAAATTCTGTCTGCATAGTCAAAATCCATGGTTTTACATGTCTTAATGGCTTCTATCAAAAAGCAGAAGTAATCAATCAACAAAAATATCAACATTTTTCAGATTACATACAAGATAACCTTCATCTTCTCCTTTATCATAACCTTCATCTTCTCCTTTATCACATTAAAATATTCAGGGAAACTAAGATGCAAACTAACAAGATTCTATTGTGTGAAGTGTTGCTTGTAAATAAACAGCTTTTACTTACCTAATCATTTAAATTAAATATATACACATAAAAATGTATTAACTGAAAAAGTATTTGAGTTGAGGTTCTTAAGATTCGCGAACTTTGTCTGATACCAGTTAAACATTTAATCCAAAAGTAAAAAGTGTTATAAAAAATGTGATAACATGACAGTGAAACATCATATTTTATTGTGAAAAAGAGATGAATAATGATTTCACTCTTTTGCAGAGCTTGAACATTTGAGATTTTTGTATGAGCTTTGTATATTAAACCTTGTTGTTCAAAATTATAGTTTAATATGAACACAAATTATTATAGTATAAATAGCAAGTAATAGTAATTTAAGCAAACTTAAATCAAATGAAGGATATACATAGGGTTAATAATTCATACTAAATGGTTATGACAATGTTTACGAAACAAAGAGAGTCTATGAATGTAGTAGTTGTTAGTTAGTAATGTTGACTTTTAACATTATGTAATTGGTACACTAAAAGTCGATCTCATTTTTAAATAGATTGAATAAATTAGTTTAAACAACCCACCGTGAGAAATTTACACCAAGCATCTAAGAATTTAAATCTACCACGGAGCACTATATTCCAGTAAGCAACTGCCATATCCAGCTCTAAACCTTTTTGTCCAGGGTTCTTAGCATAATTAAAAGTGAAATGGTAAAAATCTTTGAATTTGTTTGGATCTTTGATTTCTAATTCAAGTGTTGACAGTTTTGCTTTTAATTTATCTATGCTGTCTACTGCAAGTTCTAGAAGGCCTGTTGTAAACTCTTCTTTAGTGAACTCGCATTGTACTGCTGCTTTGCACTTCCACGCAATTATAAGTACTAAAATTGATTCGGGGCTAAGATTTAGATCTTCTAGGAACTTCATTACACCGTCTACGGTTATTTTATCATTTTCATGTGGGTCTTTGTACTTGTTGAATAGCTGTTCCACCTTTTTTCTGTCTACTGCTGATTTGACATAATCTTTGTAGTACGCTTCGGGGTTCTGAAAGTAGTTGTCACTCGCTAAGTCTAGTTTCCAATCATTTTGCGATAAGCAGAATATGGCTGTACTCTCACTCGTCTGTGTAAAGGCGACGAACTTCTTGACTTTATCTCTCTGTGATGATTTTAATTTATTCTGAAAAGAAAACGCAGTAACGTCATAACCTCAGATTATTAGTTAGCTGTCAAGTGCCTAGCGCCAAATATTTTTTTATAATCATAGAACTTTGTAGTAACATTTTGAAAGATTAGTGTACTACTTTTGTTACAAACCATTTTCGTTAGATTATTGTTATTCCTATTAATGACTTTCACTAGTTTCACTGTTATTTCGACATTAGAACTAATCATTTATAATCACAGACTAAATAATGAAAATGAAATAACAATCATAGACATTTCAATATTACCACTTCAAAGTTTCACAAAAACATAGTAAGAATTGCATTTAAGCAAAACTTTGAAATATACCAAGCTTTAAGATCAAACGTTTTTAAATATTTAATCTTAAAGCTTGGTAAAAAGGCCTTTTAGTCTTATTTCCACACATCGAAGGTGAGCCAAGTCGCCTACCCGAACAAATGTGCTTTATTTTTTTTTATTTGTAAAAAAACAGACTAAAATTGTTTCGCTACAGGAATCGAACCCATTCTTCCAGAATCACGTCCATACTCCTTAAATACTAATTGCTACACGGATAACAAGCTCAACATATTTTATCTATTTTTTTTTACATTTTAAGCAATTTGTGGCACATCTATTATTATGTCCTTTACAAAAATTTCGAATATCGTAATTTTAGTTTATGTTAATCTCATACGAACGAACTAGTGAAACTGTGAATAAGTTTCAAGACTCTTGTCAAAACTTTCTTAAGAATAGCTATATACTTATTAGAGATGGGTCGTATCGCTTTTTCTGAGTACCGTATCTGAATCAGATTTCGATTTCAAATATCAGATTTCGAAACTATGTATTTTAATATCTAGATATTTTACGGTCCCGTATCCACCTTGAATAAATCATTTTTATATTACATTTAAAAATGATTTATTTCAACATCTTATATATCACTTAAAATAATTGAGTTTAACATATTCTTAGAACACGCAATCATTAGTGACAATATTTTTATAATTTGTGTAAGAAATAATACATTCAGTATTATAACTTAGGGCGGAAGAATTTAAAATATACACACAAAGCACATAAGCCTTGGTCTGATTTCCACCCAAGCAGCACAGCACTATTAAATTATATTTTTCTTTTTGTGTAGTTTTATTTTTTTTCCAAAAATATGAATAAAATTTAACGAATAAAAATATTCACAAAAAATTTACCTCCTAAAAAATTTCCATTTATATTTTTCTTCCTTAATTTAGACAGAAAATTCTTAAGTAGTAAGTTGGCATCCCTTACTATTACGTGCTAGGTACCAATGCAATCCAGCTCAAGGTTAAACAAAATTTAAAGACATCGTTAATACCATAATTCGTATTTAAATACCACTAAACATGTTTTTTTCCATGCTGTTAAGATTCAAAATTACTTAACTACGCGCTTTGTCGCCCGTTATGGCTCAAGGCTAAACAAAACAATAAAAATATACTTAATAATATCGTTGTAGTAATCGTTGATACCATGATTAGTATTTAATTGAAACGGATCTTATTAGTATGGTTTTAAGATTCAAAATTACTTAACTTATTCAAAATATCTGTTTAAAAATCTGATATTGTGCCTTGCTTGCCGTACTGCTCTAACTAGTGTAATATTTGTATCTCACGCGCTTTGTCGCTCAAAATCTGTTTAAAAATCTGATATCGTGCATTGCTTGCCGTCCCGCTCTAACTAGTGAGTATTTATATTTCACGCGCTTTGTCGCTCGATATCTGATATCGTGCATTGCATTGCTTGCCGTCCCGCTCTAACTAGTGAGTATTTGTATCTCACGCGCTTTGTCTCTCGAAATCTGTTTAAAAATCAGATATTGTGGCAAACGCGTATGATATCGCGATTCGTGTCGGTATAGCGAGCGAGCACGTTACATCAGATTTCGGAAATATCAGATATTGTAAAAATACATAGATATTGAACGAGCCAGTAAGCGATATTCGGATATTGTACTAATATCTAGTTTTCATATCTGATACGATATGTATCGCCCACCACTAATACTTATAATACAAGGTGAGAAATTGGACGGACACGGAACAGTATCGCCGTATCGATTATTCATTATAATTAACACAAATTATATAGTGAAATTTTTGATTTTTAAATTGGCAGAACAGTTACTATTGTAGTAGACTTTTGCCTTTCATGAAATTATGCATGTCGTAAGAAATAAAAGTACAGCTGATTGTGACAGAGCAATCAAAACAAACAGAAAAATATTAGCAGATTTACATTTAAGATAGGCAGCATAGGCATTAAATATTCTTTGTTTACTCAAATTATTATTCATTGTGACCTTAATACACATAGTTATTCGAAATGAGTAAAACGGTTTTTAAAAACTATTTTTTACCAACATATAACCTATACAGGAATCTCAAAACTATTCAACCAAGAGTGAGATTTGCGCCTAGTCCAACGGGATACTTACATTTGGGTGGCTTAAGAACCGCCCTATACAACTATTTGTATGCAAAATCACATGGTGGCATTTTCATATTGCGAATAGAGGACACAGATCAAAGCAGAATAGTTTCAGGGTCCGTTGAAGCTCTAATAAACGACTTAAATTGGGTAGGCATAGAATATGGTGAGGGACCAGGAAAGGAAGGGCAAAGGGGGCCGTATATACAGAGTGAACGTTTAGAGATTTACAAGTAAGTTTTTAATTTTATAATGTTTTACACCTGGCAGTATCATCTGAATTTTATTTTTGACGTCAACTATAGATACACATTATGTATTTTTTATCATTGTAATATCCAATAAAATAATATACTATCATGGTTGCTCTCAAAGATTGTAATAGGACTTTACATATTACTAGCTTTTATTTTATAGATATCATACCTCTATCAATAAACAACTTGATAATCATTCCTATGTCATCAGTTTTATTGATTTATGTATGGTAGATAGTATTATTATGCACATGCAGTGGAAATATAGGAAAAAACAAGTGTAAACAAGTTAGTCTAAAATAATAATTAATTATATAAAATTCAATACCCTAAGTGTTAATGACAATATAAAAAGTATAGAAGTATAAATGTATAGTAGAGAAAAAGGATAAAAAATAAAATTCAACTTTCTCTAGACAAATACGTAGAAGAACTTTTGAGAAGGTAAAGAAAAAGGAAAAAAGGAAATTTAATAATAATTCCTATTGTTTTTTTTTTGTCTAGACAAATATATTAAAATAAATGTTAGCCCATGATTTCTCTGGCTGCAGAATAGTGTTTTGTTGTGAGTGAAGGAAACTTTCATCATCATATTCATCTCTAGGTAATAAACACATGTTGAATACAATTGTTTTATAATTTATACCTTTCCTTTAAAAATGATATTGCATTCATCAATGGGCTTTGTTTTCAGATAATATTGTTGTGTCCATACCCATAAATCAACAAGTGTTGCAATTTATATTCATGCTTTGTAGTAATGTTTTAGATTTTTTTATATAAAAAAAATTAAAAAAATGAAGGTACATACTTCAAAATAGTATTTAATATTGAGTTTAAATATTTATTTTTTCCATTTCAGTGATTATATAAGGAAACTGCTGAAAAATGGTTCTGCATACCATTGTTTTTGCACTGAGAGAAGATTGAACATCCTTCGTAGGGACGCAGTGAAATTGCAACGAGTACCTAAATATGATAACAGATGCCGGAATCTTCCACCAGAAGAAGTGGAACGGAAGATAAAATCAGGTGTTCCATATTGCATCAGATTTAAGGTACTTCATTAATAGTTCTATGTTGTGTTATATAGATTTTGAACTTAATGGGGAAAAATAAAAAAGAGCCTATATTCTATACTAAGCGAAGGAGTAGAATAATTTGTTAGCTTCAGTTTCTCGCTTAACTATAAATTTACTGTCTTCACGGCAACAGTGAATAGGCTTTCAGAGCTAGTGTATTCAAGATCTAAGATTAAATCTCTCCTTATTAACCTGTGAACCTTCAAGACGGGAGCATATTCTTTCCTAAAAGGCGGGTAACACTTGTAAGCCCTCCAGTGTTGTAGGTGTTCATGGGCGGCGGTGATTATTCACCATCAGGTGGGGTTCCTGCTTGTTTGCCCCATAAAAAATAGTGGGTGTTGAGCGCTGGTTAGTTTTTGGTTAAAAATGGCTATCGGCCGTTCCAGTTGACCTCCGACTGCCAGTATTACGAGGATCTGGTGTTCGGAGCGATAGCCTACGACGTGTCTCTGAACGAGGGCGACCCGGTGCTGATGAAGGGGGACGGCTTCCCCACTTACCACTTCGCGAACGTGGTCGACGACCACTTGATGGGTATCACACACGTGCTGCGCGGGGTCGAGTGGCAGATATCGACCACCAAACACCTGCTAATCTACAGGTGACTAAGCGTCGCATTACAAGCCTCTCCTTCTAACAGTATGTTTTGTCTCTTTTAAATTCATTCAACCCATTCATGTGCTTTCTGACCTTTACAAATGAACTTTACGTTACAGTTTTATATACACGTAAGGAAGGGTGTTCTAAAATTCAATTCTAAGTTCTAAGTTCTAAAATTCAAAAATTGTCGCGATTGTAAAGACACGCTATATATATACAGCGTGTCTTTACAATCGCGACAATAAATGAACACACATATAGGGGATAACTTTTTAAAATTTTATTAAACATTTACATTCTCTAAACATCAATATTTACAGAGTTATTAAATTTTCTAAAAGAAAGAATTTTAGAAAACCCTTACGTATAAAACTGTAACGTAAAGTTCATTTGTAAAGGTCACAAAGCATATGAATGGGTTGAATGAATTTAAAAGATACAAAACATACTGTTAGAAGGAGATGCTTGTAATGCGACGCTGTGGCGCGAGTTGTATAGGTGTTACAAATTTTGTTTCTTTTTCACTTAATTAGTTTGTTTGAAAAAAAATTTTTTTTATTATGGATTTTGTTTAACTTTAATATGTTTTTATGATTATTGGCAAGTAGCGTTACACGTGTGTTCATTTATTGTCGCGATGGTAACGACACGCTGTATATATAAAGCTGTTCAACATTATTATAATAGTTGTCAAGCATAAATTTTTGATTGCATAATATTTGAAATGTATATAATCAAAGTATACATGATTAAAAGCAACTAAGAACTAACTTGCAGTTAGTATTTTTAATGCAGTCGGGTAGATTTTAAGCCCCCCACGCTTATTTTTAAATATTTTTTTTACTAGGATTATTATATATTTTTTTTGTTAAATCGAATTGCAATAAGATCGTGTTTTTTTAAACTATTATTTATTGTCGCCGCTGTGGGAATCGAACCCAAACCGTCATTCGAAGTCTGACGCTTTTGCCACTAACCTTCATTGTCACACCGTCTTAAATCGTCTCAAATCTTAACGCTTTTTATCTACAATCTTTTTTTTTAGCATTTGAAGCTAAGCTTGGCGCATCCATTGTTATATCTTTTCCAGCATTATTTATCATAAAAACATCCGGGCACATCGTGCGATTTCAACACTGTCACTTGCTATCTCTGTCTGACCCAATCGACAGCGACATTTAAGATCTCTGCCTGACCCAGCAGAGACTTGCTATCTCTGTCTGACCCGCTAGACATTTTAAATTAGTTTCGTTTCGACCGCAGGGCTTTCGGTTGGACCGCCCCCGCGTTCGGACATCTGCCTCTCATCGTGAACTCGGACGGCACGAAGCTGAGCAAGAGGCAGAGTGACGTCAGAGTGGAGGACTACAGGAGCGGCGGTACGAGCGATGTGTCTTATTTTTACCTCTTTAAATTATTGCCTGACTGTATATGGAACATTATTGTATATGGTGGAGTGGGGAGGAGACAAGCGGAAGAATGTTAGGATAATAATAAGGTATTAAAATTATTTTCTATTAAGTTTGAATTAGGAATTTGACACTTTGGCATGTGGCGTAGTGACGTGTTGCGAATAGTAGCAGTTCTGAATCCTTGTTCCTCTTGAGATACTGATTGACAAACAAGAGGTTAGTATTATAGTACGATAAATAATGCACACCGACCTTTGGAATGAGACAATTGGCTAATTTCGGTTTTGTAAAGCGTTATCTCTATCACACACTACCCATGTGATGTTTCTCGTTTTTTGTGTAAGTGTTTGACAGAGATGACGCTCTACGAAATAAGTCGATTGTCTTTTTCCAAAGGTCAATGTTTAATATTTATCGTCGCGTATTATACAATGCGTGCGATTGTTCAACCGCATTTCATTGTCTGTCTCTGTGTTCACTTCAGACGCATATACAATCTCCACTGCTGCACTAATGAAAAGGTCCGTCCGGGGAAGGACCACGACCTCAAAGAAGATCGGTCTGAAGTGGGAGTGTTATGCTTTTGCGTTTCGTCGCGTGAGTGAGGTAGTTGGGGCCAACTACGGATGTTGCCAATGTCCGTGGGCGGCAGTCATCACGTAACAGCAGGTGGGCCGGGCCGAGCTCGTTTGCCATCTTCTTATATATAGAAAAAACAGAATTTCCCCTTTACGTTTGTGATAAACCTTTAGTTTGTTAAAAAATGTAGATTTTTTAGCTTTTTTTTTAGTGCTCTGCACTTAAGATGGATCGTAAAAATTTGTAGAAAAAAGGAAGAAAAGTTTTTCACCGGTGTGGGAATCGAACAGCGACATCTCTTGTCCGAATAATCGTTGTTCGTTATTCGAAAATGTTTGTATGATGTAAATAAAGAATACAACAATGGATGCGCCAAGCATTACCTGATATGCGAAAAACATTTAGATAAAAGACGTCGAGACTTTTGTCGGTGTAGCAATCAATCGTTTAGCTTAGTGGTTAAAGCCCCTGGGCGCGAATCCCGAAGACGTCAGTTCGATTCCCACAGCAGCGAAAAGCTTTTCGTACTTTTTTATACAAACTTAAGTTTGATATTGTTTATAGGATTAAACTTTCAGGTGTATTCCCGCTTGCCTTAGTTAATTATATCACCCTTTCCGGGGGCGGTTTCGACCACGTGGTCGGTCAGGGCGTCCACCTCAAAACCATGGGGAGCTGGCTGAAGAGGTGAATAGCGATAAAGGAGCTAGCCGAATAATTAATTTGCATTTGAAAGAATAAGTCAATCCCACAGCTGGGCAAAAGCCTCTGTGCAGAGGGTGCCAGGGCATAATCCACCACGCGACCACATGTCAGCAGAACTCACATATCATTGAGACTTTTTTGAAAATATGCGACGTGATACTTACGGTCTTTCTGTTGGCCACATAACAGTCTTCGCTGTTGCAAGAATGGGCAGGCCCGTCTGGGGAAGAACCACGGCCTCACAGAAGACCGGCCTGAAGACGAAGTGGTAATACTTCCGCGTTTCCTCTGGTGAGTGAGGTTTACCGGGCCCAATTTTTTGAAAGTTGGCAACATTTGTAACCCTACTTTCGTAATTATTGTTATCGCCACAAAAATGTTTGCTTTCAATATCGTAAAACCACTGTTTTTGCATTTACTTTGGAATCTTTACGGTAATTTAACTGAGTGAGTTGACCTGTCCGAAATTTTAGCACAGTACCGTGACGTGATTAGTTTACCACGTTAACTGTTTATGTTACCGTGGTTATAAAGTTATGTGTAATATTTTGAAGACTAACGCTTTTCAGTCTACTTCGCTATCTTTCATTTAAACTCAATAGATGGCGTTATCATGCATTATTTTTTAAACGAGGGTTCTACTTGTCCTCTGTGTGAATCGTAAAATTTGATGAACAATCAGAAAGTTATGGCGTACCGATAAAAACACCTTTGAGAATTTATTTATACATAGATATTTCTCGTCAATAGGAGGTTGTAAATGGTGTTTGAATCAACAATAATGATTAAGAAGGTAGTGTACAGACAAAAAATACCTTTGATAAATAATATATTGAGATTATTGAAGCAGTAAATCTTGTTTTATCAATTATTACCGCAAAGCTTGCAACGAAAATGATGTTGACGACAAAATGGATTATGTCAATAGTTTCAGGTGAGCAAAATCTCATCGCACCCGAGCCGTCTGAACCCAGATCTCCTAGAAGAGTGCAACAGGTTGGAACTAAAGCGGCGCTTGCAAGACCATACGGAGAGAGAAGACTTGCTGGACCGCTTACAGAGCTTGATAAAGGAGAACTATCCGGGGAGGAATTTGAACGTCTCGAGGGGTCACCTGAGGAACGTTCTCGTCTGGGCTGTTGCCAGGATCACGAGGGTCGAGGAATTGGCGACGGCCAAGTTCGGCTTCCTCTGGATCCTGCCGTCCGCCGGCCAGGCGCGAGTGGACAGCCAGCTGCTGGGGAAGCTGGTGCACAGCTTGGAGGGCGTCGAGAGCTTTGACGAGGAGCCCCTGAAGGGACTGCTGAGGAGCTTCTCCGCGGAGAACGGAGTCCAGTTCCCCGTTTTGATGAAGATGCTGCGATCGGCTCTGAGCGGTCTGAACGAGGGGCCCGGAGTTGCGGAGATGATGCACCTCTTGGGGAAGAACCAGTCGCTGGAGAGAATAAAGGCTGCCATAAGATAATGTGTCGCGTTTGATTTGAACACATTTTTTTTAAACTTTCCCCTTACTCAAGGATAATAATACTATCATGTTGTAGGGACGTTTCACAAACAACACACGTGGACAAACACACAGATCCGAAATAACAACAAATTTAACGCTGGTAGAGCCACGCAGCGGCCTCGGCCGTTGCACGAATGGGCAGGCTCGTCCGGGTAAGTACCACGATTTCCCAGAAGACCGCGTTCGTCTGGTGGGTGAGGTCGCCGGAGCCCAATTTCCAAAAAGGTTTGTCAAGGCATCTGCAAACCCTCGGGTGTAGCAATGTCTATGGGCGGCGTTATTGACTTAAGGGCGTGTTTGCGAAATCTCGCGGAATCTGCAAAAATAGGAGGTTTTCAGGTACATTTTGCGGCAAAACGAAACGAATATAATGTAAGTAATAATTATCACATATAGATCCCTCCTTCATCTTCAAATGGTAGATAGTTTTTTAATCGAAAATTTTGGTTTATAATATTGTAAATGAGAATTTTCGTGACCACTTCACTCAAAATGGACGATATCCTGTTGGGTTTAGGAACATTTTTCTCTTATTTAATAACATATTTTTTTTATTTAAAAATATTTTATGTAAGCACACATGTTCAACTCAAAAAGGTAGCTACATTACGTATCAAAATTGTTGAAATTAGTTTCAGAAAAAAAAAAAAAAAAGATTAAAATCTATTTCTTTCACATTTATATCTTACGCGTGAATCTTAAGTGATTGACATAAAGGTTATTTTACTGGTCACTTTTTTGATTTATTCCACAAAAATATTTAAAGAAATATTAGTCGGCGCTCGACTGCCGTCATGAGTGATCACTATGTCGCTTATAAACAGCAGTTCGTGAGGAAAAAGATCGCTGTACGAATACAAAATATTTGTCGTAACAAAGTTGATACTTTACACATCATGTTCGGACTTCGGACTACGAACGACAAAAGTAAACTATAATTCACACTTTGTCATATTTTTACTAGAAATTAGTAGGGGTTAAAAATTCATATTTCGTTACGGACTTGATGGAGTGACCTGAAGGTGTACTTCGAGAACTGCTACTGAAACTAACAGACGAGATGAGTTATGTGTGTCGAGTTTGGGCTTGTTTTGTTAGGTATGGTGAGATCTTGCCTTCTGACTTGATGGAGTGACCTGAAGGTGTACTTCGAGAACTGCTACTGGAACTAACAGACGAGATAAGCTATGTGTGTCGAGTTTGGGCTTGTTTTGTTAGGTATGGTGAGACCTTGCCTTCTGATTTGTTGGAGTGACCTGAAGGTGTACTTCGAGAACTGCTACTGGAACTGGAACTAACGGACGAGATGAGTTATGTGTGTCGAGTTTGGGCTTGTTTTGTTAGGTATGGTGAGATCTTGCCTTCTGACTTGATGGAGTGACCTGAAGGTGTACTTTGAGAACTGCTACTGGAACTAACAGACGAGATGAACTATGTGTGTCGAGTTTGGGCTTGTTTTGTTAGGTATGGTGAGACCTTGCCTTCTGACTTGATGGAGTGACCTGAAGGTGTACTTTGAGAACTGCTACTGGAACTGACAGACGAGATGAGCTATGTGTGTCGAGTTTGGGCTTGTTTTGTTAGGTATGGTGAGACCTTGCCTTCTGACTTGATGGAGTGACCTGAAGGTGTACTTTGAGAACTGCTACTGGAACTGACAGACGAGATGAGCTATGTGTGTCGAGTTTGGGCTTGTTTTGTTAGGTATGGTGAGACCTTGCCTTCTGATTTGTTGGAGTGACCTGAAGGTGTACTTCGAGAACTGCTACTGGAACTAACGGACGAGATGAGTTATGTGTGTCGAGTTTGGGCTTGTTTTGTTAGGTATGGTGAGATCTTGCCTTCTGACTTGATGGAGTGACCTGAAGGTGTACTTTGAGAACTGCTACTGGAACTGACAGACGAGATGAGCTATGTGTGTCGAGTTTGGGCTTGTTTTGTTAGGTATGGTGAGACCTTGCCTTCTGACTAGATGGAGTGACCTGAAGGTGTACTTTGAGAACTGCTACTGGAACTAACAGACCAGATGAGCTATGTGTGTCGAGTTTGGGCTTGTTTTGTGAGTTTTTTTGAGACCTTACCTTTGAAATTGATGTATTGGCATGAAGGTGTAAGAATACAGTAAAAAAGTTATTTAAAATATGGAACTACGTATTCTACATCAATTCTGTGTATAAATATTTGTGAAACATGTTAATATAAAAAAAAATTGAAATTTAGATTATAATTATGAGTCAATAGAGTATAAATATAAGTCAAAGGAAATCACAAGTCAAAGTAATGAATTTTTAATATAAACATGGTACATTACTTAGACATGATTAAATATTTTAAATGTCTTATTTGACAGTGTACAGATTTTAGAATTTTCGTTTAAATTTAAATACTCCGGGAGGCCTATGAACCTATCTGGTATTTTATTATAAATTCTTATTTCCATGCAGCCAAATGTTGGCCAAAAGTACACCACGTGTAGAAAAGTTGTATGGATAATTAAAAATACAAGTAATACAAAACAAATTTGCACACTTGCAAATTGTAAGATTAGGCATGTCTAAAAGGTCATTTTTTTGTATGTTTCAATGAATAGGTGTAATAAACATGTACTTCAAAAGTTTCGAACGACAGCTATGTGGCAAACTTTTTGTTTCACGTTTATGACCCCATTTATCGTTTATTGTTTTGTCGTGTTTCGCACTGATCAACTTTTATGATCATGGATTCTGCCTAAAATAATACTTAATTTAAAATAAGTAAGAACGTCTTTAAAATAGGCAAAACACGAAAAAAAAAAATAGTTATGTAAAAATGTAGTGGATCTCAACTTAAATTATCAAAGACTTATTTTTATGGCACAGTTATCACATACAACATTTATACCTCTTATAACTCAATTGTTGTTTCAGATGCCAAAGCCTAAAACGATAAAATTTTAGCAGGCTACTACTTCGATATAGATAACAAAAATAATTAAATGATAGAGAACTATAAAGAAAAATCACAAAGATCCGACACAGAGCACCCCGACTCCGTGTGGTCTTCCCTATCCCTAGAGTGAACATCAAAAGGCGGAGCCAGAACCTCGTGTCGGAGGTATAAATTGGCCTCGCGGGCTTGCTCCACCCAGGATCGACATAGCGACAGTTCTGCGAAGAGCATGGAAGAGTCAAATTAAAAATGAAACAATTTTTTTTCAGCTATTGCACAGCTTTTATCGCGGGCTTTGAGCGCGGCGAACGAATCAATAAATTCCGTAACGAAAATAAAACCTAACACCACCCACTTCGCCTACCACGCAAGAGGAAAGATTTGATTGTTTTTATGCATTGAATAGGCTCCTAAAGCACTGAACAGATTTGAAAATTTCTTTCACTGTCTCGAAGCTACATTATCCCCGGATGACATAGGAATATTAAATTTTCAAAAAACTAGGAATCCTTACTAAAACTTGAATAATGTAAACCAAAGTGTACAAAAATTACCTAAAATATTGTTTGCATCGCGTGCGCTGCTAAAACTATTGATAATTGTATAAAATAATGTACTACGAATTTGCAGAACACATCATTATTTATAAAAAGTGTTGCGTCTAACTATTATAGATATGCCACAATAAGTATTCTTTCACCTTAAAATTTTGATTGAAATGCCGCAGCTAGAAAAGGCTCTTTATTTGTATCTTGGTATTAATTCTTATAAAAATAAATTACTTTATATTTAAGACTGTTTCAATATCTTTATATAACTTTTTGAATGATTAAATTCGGACATTCCATTCGAAAGATATCACAAGTTTAAAAATGTTAGTATATTGTAATTTAACTATCCAGAGCTTAGTGACTGACTTAGTAGTTCTTATCATTTTTGTAAATAATATAAATAAATTATATATTATTAATTATAATATATATTAATTATTATATTATTAAAATATTATTATTTATTAACATAAATATAAATATCAAAGAAAAAAATACTGCATAATTAAATAATTATAATCGCATAAGTTGATAAAAGATGCTATGCTATAGATTTACCCCAGCTGAGCCGAGTGCGACAGGTTTTTTTTTATAAAAATGTTTTTTAATTTTTACTAGTTTGTTTCCTTCGTTTTATTATTTCATTTTTAGTTTCTAGATACTAGCCCGGCTTCGTACGCCATGCTATTTCCAATTCATTTACAGAAAATTATTTTTTTTTAACATTTAGCATGAATATTATTGAATCAGCAAAATGCATTCAGAATACCATACAAAGTATTTTACTCAATTCGTTAGCGGGTTTTACCTAATTATCTGCCTACATAGCTACCTTCCTACGTACCCTACCATTACCTACCTATCAAGCTATCTACCTACCGCACGCATAATCAAACATGTATAAAACAAGCTTCGTTTACTTCATAAAAATTAATTAAAACATAAAATTAAATTATATACATAATTAATTAAAACGCAAATTATCAACAGCTACGAGCTTTTAAATGAAATTTAATAAATTATACCTAAATATATAAAAAAAATATTCAGTTTAAAAACTTGTTGAAAACAAATTTAACGTAAGCTTAAAAAATAAATGACTTCAAATTAAATAAAAGTATCAAGTTGCGTCAGTTACATAAAGTTTCGCTGCTTCGCGCTTGTCGCTGTGTGCGTGAGCCGTGCACGTGTAGTAGTACGCCTCTGTACCTAAAATTGAAGCGCGTGAATTCGTAAACGCGTCCTTAACATCAGGTAAACCGTCAGCCCGTTTGACAACTTTTCACATAAAAAAAAAATAACAATCCGTGTGGGAACCGCAACCCTCCTCGCTTAAGCCAATACCTTGGCATCATCTTCGTCTCGGAGTCATCATTTTTTTTAAAAAAAAATAACAAATGCGAAACAACTGTCTGTGGGTCACATAAATAGTTGTCCCTTGTGGGAATCGAAACCATAACCCCCGACGTCGAAGCC